CCCAGCGCCAGCAGCGCCAGGCACTGCTCCCGCTCCAGCGGCTGCCGGGCCGCCTCCAGCACGCGCCGCACCAGCCCCTGCTTCACGCTCACGGGGTACGACGACGTCACCACCGCCTCCAGGATCTTGTCCATGGCGGCCGCACTGCGGGGACAGGGAGCGGGTCACACGCTGCCCGACTGCTGCGGGGCTCGAGAGCCACGGTCCGGTTACCCGTGTGCCTCCCTAAGTGCTGAGGGTTTGGGCGAGCAAGTCCACCTTTCTGGGCCTCGGTTTTAACCCCTAAACCCGTGTGAAATGGGGGGAGGATACCTACCGCACCGGGAGGTCTCGGGATGCAGCAGAGCACAATAGCTGGCACATGGTAAGCCCAGGGAGTTGTAGCTATTGCTGCTGAGCGCCTTTAACTGCACAAAAGCAACCTGAACCTCCTCCCCACGCTCACCCCTTCGCCCTTCTCCCCAAGCCTCCCTGGTGACCCCACCCACTCTTGGGGCAGGTAGGAGCTGGCTCTAGAAGCTGCTGTCCAGAGTCTCCCCTAAGTCACGTCCTGTGGGGGAGAGTAGATGGGGCACACAAAAGCACCTCCAGACAGGACCGGCCTGGCTCCCTCCACACTTTATTCTTCCTCCCTCAACTCCTTGCCCTTTTCCAAATGACCTTCACCTCTGCAGACTCCACCCTGAGTGTGCTGCGCCTTTTGCCTGACACACCCTGTCTCCCGAGCACCCCCAGCACCACACTCACACAAGCAGGCATACTCCTACTGTCCTTCAAAGACTATCTAAAACACCTGTCCTCAGTGAGAACACCCCTGGTCCTCCAGACATGAATCCATCCCCTACCCTTGATTCCTACACTCACCTGCAGCCTCGTCCTCTATTACAGCTGGGATCACTTATTCCAGGCTGTACGGGTCCCAAGCCCTTTCTCTGAAGCAGAGCATCTCTTCTCTGTGCCCTGCCCCTGCCGCCCAGCCCAGCAGCCCTGCACACCTAGGGTCCTGCCTGCTTCTCCAGCAGCCGCTCGCTCAGGTCTCACTATACTCCCTCTGCCACCGGGCCTTTGTATATGCTCTTCCCTCCCCTCCTGGCTTGGTTAACCCTTCAGACCTCAGCTGAATCTCACTTCCTCAAGGGAGCTTTGCCTGACCTTCCTGTCTGGGTCAAATCCCTTAGTTAAAAAATTAGAACATCCTGTCCTTCTTTATATCACTTACCATGATTACTTCATTGGGATCAGCCTTTCCCACAACACTACGTATGGTTCCTGCCCTCCGGTTCTGTTCAGAACAGTGTTCCCAGCACTGAGCACAGTGCCTGGCACACGGAAGGCATGAGCTGGACGAGCGAATGCAGAGCACAGTGTCGCTACCTCCACCTTACCCTCGGCACAGTAGCCTTCCTTCTGCCCTTCCCCTCCCCCTCCCCCTGGGCTGTTCCTGGAAGCCTTCATCCCACGCTGACCCACTCTGACTCCTGATTCTCCTACTGGTTCGCAGGGGTCCAGTTTGCTCTCTTAATACTCAACTCTCAGCTCCCCCCCTCCCCCTCCCCCTGGGCTGTTCCTGGAAGCCTTCATCCCACGCTGACCCACTCTGACTTCTGATTCTCCTACTGGTTCGCAGGGGTCCAGTTTGCTCTCTTAATACTCAACTCTCAGCTCCTAGAAGGCAGGGCATTTCTTTACTTTTTCATATAATCCTTCTGGAGGCAGGACCCAATATAAGATGTGGCAGATAGTAGGTGTTCAACTAAACTTATTGGCTGAGTAAAAACTACTATATTTTGAGACCTGAAGCTGATTTGAAGACAAGCCAGAAATTGTGGATAATGGGCCAGAAAATTTTATTCAGAACCACAGATATTTTGGGACCCCAACTATGTGCCAGGCCGCATGGAAATGCTCCCTTCTCTGTCCAGTTCTTGGCTGTGACCAAACCTTCATTACCACATGTGTGGGCCCATTTGTTTAACTGTCTCTTTCACCAAGCTGTGAGCTCCTCAGGGCAGGGACCAGGGCTTATTTCTCTGTGGCTGGCATCGCCCATGCCTAGAGAGCACATTTACTGTGGTTGGAGGATCCAGCCATGGGACAGATCAGTGGTTCCCAAATGCTGCCCTGGCTGCCTCAGAATCACCTGGGCACTTGTTCAAATTTCACATGCCCAGGGTTCATCCTAAGCCTCCTGAACTAGGAAGCAGGGAATGGTGTGTTCGATTCTGCTTTTTTTACCCTTTGAGTGAGGTTCATCTGGGATGCATTTTAGTTCCCATAATGGTTACTTATGCTCTCTGAGCCTTTGTTTCCACCTTGCAGGGTTGTGAAGACAAAAATGAAGTCCTTAGCATGGTGCTGAGCACAAGGACATTCTCAGAAAATGTCAATTCCTGCTGCTGCTTTAGTCCCTGCCAGTCTGGTGGTGGAGAAGTGTCTGTAAAGAACACCAGTGCAAGGCATAATATCAAAAGGCCTTTAAAAGGGTCTTTACAAACTGGTCTCCCTACAGCCCTGTACACTCCTCTTTCCTAGGCAGTGCCTGTGGCAAGGCAGTTGCTGTGGTGAACCTCCCTCGCACGAACACAGTCCATCCTCCCAGAGGCCTGGGATGGCCCACCCCTGCCCTGTAGGCTGCCGGATTTAATATGCTTTCAACCCTGGAGGCCAAGAAATTCTGGTACTCAAGCAGTCAAGGAAAAACTCTAATCAATGGGGTACTGGCATCGTGTGTGGAGGAAGAGGGCATGGAGTCAGGCAGCCATGGAGTTCTGGGGCCAGGGAAGGCTCTGTAAGTGGAAAGAAAATCAGACTAGGAATGAGGGGTCCTGCATTCTGGGCCCAACTCACTGTGTGATGTAAACAAATCACATGCATGAGCTCCTTTTCTCTTCTGTAAAATGGGGATAAATGATATTAGATTGTGCCAAATGCAACTGAGTGATCAAATGCCACAATTTCACATCGTTCTACCTAATTCCACAGAAGGTGGCTTGTGCCTGGCAGCTGGGAGGTCAGCCAGGAGCTATTCCGTGAGGGCTCTCATCTCCAAGGCCAGTCCTGCAGCCTCTGCTCAGTATGCGGCTGGGCCACACCACACCAGCCCTGCCTACGTGCCCCCACTCCCAAGCAGGCAGTCTGAGGTCAGCTGTCACCATGGTCACCAACAAACCCACTCAATAACATCTTGGATGCATTCATTGCAAAAGGGTTTTAGAGGCTTCGCCCTCACCTGACTCCATCACAGGCCAGAGAAAGGAGGCAGGATGAGGTCTGCTATCCCTGTGGCTAGAATGGGGAAGCCGAGGCTCAGAGAGGGAGAGGGACATGGCCGTGGCAGGACAGGACTAGAACCTCCACTCTGCCTCCCTTGGGGAGGAAGAAGCAGACCACCAGCGTTCCTCGGGGGAGCCTGGGTTACCCCTAGGCCCCGGATAAGGAGACAGCCTGTCGACACTGGCTCTCACCCAAGGGACAGCTGTCCAATGCCACACGCAGCAGCAGCAAAGAGCAGCCATGGCTTCCTCTGAATAGCCTGCATCAAGGCATGAGACCCAGGTTCTCTGCTTCGGAATGACCAGATGACCTTGGGCGAGTCCCTGCCTGCCTCCTCAACCTTCTCACCTCGAAAATGGGGACCGTTCCAGGCCTGCCACTCCCAGGGTTGGGACAAAGTGGAAAACATGAGGGCTGGGGCAGTCATGAGTCTGTTCTAGGGCCACCTGGCACCAAGAAGAGAGACAGGCACTGTCAAGGGAAGGAGGCAAGGAGACAGGCACTGCTGATCTAGCTGAATCTACAAGGAACTTCCTCCATCAGCCCTCACTGCCAACTTAGTGCTTCCCTGACTCCCCTGAGCTCCAGGCCGACCCAAGATCAGCTCCCCTTTACTTCCTGCCTGAATAGTGCAGTGGCCTCCTGACGCATCTCCTCATTCCCTCCCTCAGCCCGTCCTCCAACAGTGGCATGCATCCTGGAGGAGAAGAGAGTCCAGGCTCTGAATCCAGCCCAGCCACTACTCTCCATGGTAGCCACGGCCATGGAGGTCGGTGCTCTTTCACCTCTGCGTCTCTGAACCCCAAAATGGAAATGACAGCCTGGAAGTCCCAGCAACACCCGGCATGCTTCAGGACACACAGTAAGCACACAGGAAAATCACAATCCCTCCCCCAGAAAGCCCAGATCCCTTTATCTGCCCCTCAGATGACCCTCAGCATTTCTGCTGTGTGTTGACAGATCTCTGCATGGTGGAGCCTGACTCATCTCCATCACCCCCAGAGCACCAGCGTGTGTATGTGTGTGTGTGTGCGTGTGTGTGTACACAACTCCAATGCTCAGCTCCACCTCCACACCCTGGGTCCCAGCTCAGGCTTCACCCATGCTCCCTCCGTGGTCTCTGCAACCCACTGCAACATCGGCCAACTAACCTTACTACACCGTAGGCTCCACTCTGCCATGCCCCTTCTCAGAGGCTCCACAGCCCCTGCAGGATAAGGTCCTGACTCCTGGGCCTTCTGTGACACTAAGCTGATGTGGGGCAGGGGTGGGGATGAGCCTGACAATCACCGTTTGCTGGGGACTCCTTGGGAATTTGGGCAGAGGGCTTTTTTCTGACTGGCACTTTGCTGAGAAAGGGCCTCTCTCTACTCTCTCCTGGCAAATTCTGACTCATCCTTCGATGCCCATCTCACATGCCTCCTCCTCTGGGAAGCCTTTCCTTGTCCCTCCACAATTCATGTCGCTGAGCTCTGGCCTCCATGGCCCTCTAAGCTTCTTTCATCCCTCTGCAGTGTTGCTGGACTCTATGTCTATTACTGCCGCCAGGCTGGGACCTCCCTTGGCAGGAAGTAGGTCCAACCCCCTGTCTGTGCCCAGTGCAGGACCAAGCACAGAGGTGTCTGTAAAGGTGTGCTGAGCAACTGATGAGAGACAGTGAGAGCAAAAACCAAGGATGTGACTAGAAAAGTACCTTCCAGGGACTGGCCTAACCCTTGTCCAGTCACTGCCCCCTCCTCTGCCCAAGCCTGGTCTTGCATACCCATAATGCTGAGAATCTCAAACATCAGCCACGAAAGCCCCTACAGAGGTCACTGGACTGAACTGAGTGAGGCTTTCGCCATTCTGGAAACAACCAAAGCAGAAGAAAAAGCAAAAACAAAACAATGTTCCTGGTGAGCCCTCGGGCCAAAAGCTCACAGAATCTCATGGGACAGGAGCAGAGCGGCCCCTCTCAGCCCCTGCTCAGCACCCAACAGTTGAGGAGCTCATTTACTCTCCTCTCTGACCCTCACACCCAGCCTCCCTCTTTTGACTCCCCTGGGTGCCAGAGCTGCCTGGGGGTCACCAGCAAGCACCCTCCATCCCTGGCCCCTCAGGTTTCTGGGCAGCAGCATCTCCCTCTGTATTTTTTAACTGAACTTCTTGTACCCACGGCAGCCCTGGGAAGGAGCCCTTCACCCTACTCTGAACAGCCCTTGTCTGGGCCACCAAACTGTCTCCTGAAAAGAAAGAAAAAAAGGATTTTACCGGTAAAAAGCAATTGCTCTTTTACTAAAGAGGAATGGGGGTAGAGAAGGGAAGAAGGCAGAAGCAGCTATTCCCTCCTCAGGAACCCACCTCAGTCACCCATCCCTGCTGGGGGTCACCCCCCACAAACCTCTGATGGCCACGCCCCACTCCCACCCCCACCCCAGGCTACCTGGAAAGGAGAGAACCAAGGTGACACGTGGGGTCTCAGGTTTGAAAAGGCAGTTATAGGTGAAGTATTCTGGATTCAAGGATGCTGAGAACAGCAGAAGCCCATTCCAAGCAGTGGTGGCCTCTGGGCCCCCTAGTTTGTGTCCCAGCTTGGCCCCCCTCCTTGCCTCCACTTATTCCAGTGCATCTGCGCCCAGCCCACACCGGGCTGGGGCCGCCCTGGAAAGGCCAGAGAGCTTCATGGCACTGGGTGCCCTCAGTCCTGAGCGGGGCCGGAGTGGGATCACCTCGACATACAACTGATGGAGGAGGCTGAGGCCCAGAGAGGGGTACCTACGTGCCCAAGGTCACACAGCGAGGCCCAGTAGGCACCCAGACCTCCTGCCTCCCAGCCCCAGGAGGTTCAGGAAACGCTAGAGTGCAGACACCCCCAACCCACACACATGCACCCAGCCCGCTTACCTCCGGGACACCAGTGGGCCCTGCCTCAGAGCCGGCTCCTGGGCGGGGCTCTCAGGCCAGGCAAGACTAGGCTGGGCCGGGCTAGGTCAGGGCGGGTCCTCTGCTCCCCCTAGGGAGGGGACGCCCTCCGCAGGTCCCAGACGGCGGGGATGCTGCTTCCACTGCAAAGCCCAATCTTCCCACCCCGCTGTGCACAAGCCAATATACACCCGGGGAGCGGAGCAGCGGGGCTTCGGGTTGAAGCGGGGGAGGGGCAAGGTGCGGGAAACGGGGCGGAGCCGGAGCGGAGGCCACCCGGCGAGCCTCCACTCAGGCTGCGTCCCCTTTAAGGCCAGCCGGCCAGATCGCCGGCGGGGGCGGGGCGGGAAGCCGGACGGCCCACCGAAATGCCTTCTGGGAGATGAAGTCCGTGCTCTGCGCACCAAGCCGCAAAGAGCCCAGAGAAAACTACAAGTCCCAGAGAACAGCGCGCGGATCCCGGGCCACCACGCCCCTGGGCTGAGTCCCGGCCCTCCGCCCCCCTCGCAAAGCTGCGCTTGGCCGCCCTCGGAGGGGAGGCTGCAGAGAGCGGGCAGGAGGTGGGTGCGGCGCGGCGGGGGGCGAGGGGCTCCGGGACTACCGGTGAGGGCACGTGGTCCAATTTGGGCACTTGTCTTACCATGAGAGGTCATCTACCCCACCTCGCCGTTCTCATCTGTGAAATGGGGATGGCAACGCCTGTGGCTGCGGGGGAGGGGGCAGGTTTCAGGGAGAAAGGAGCCGAAGGGGGCCGAGCTACGAAAGAGGGCGGAGCTGGCGGGAGGAGCCAGAGTGGACGGCGATGGTAGGAAAAGCCCGGATAATGAGGGTCGGGACTGTGGGAGGGGCACACGTGGGGGTCGGAGAGGGTCTCTAGGGTTGGAGAGTGGGCGCCTAGAAAGACAGTGAGGAAAAGCTGGGTTGGATTGGATGGAGGGGCCGAAAAGCGTGGGGAGGGAGAGACGGAGTCAAAAATGATAGGGAATGACAGCGCTCTTGCGGTGTCGGCAAGGGGTTGCGCCGGTGGATGCGCGGAACACCTTCCTTATCTTGTCACTAGAAATAAAGAGCCTGTTCCTTGAGCTCAGTGCGTGACACACGTGATCTCATTGAACTCACACCCCGTTAAGAAAGGGCGTCACCGTATCTGTTTGCGGGTGAGAAACATGAGGCTCAGAGAAGTGAAGTGACTCGTCCAAAACCACTCAGGACTCCTTGCTTCAAAGACCCTGCTCTTTTTGCTGCACTCCAGGGAGGCGGAGGTTTAGTCTGCAGTGGGTGGTAGGGAAGGAACAAAAATGTTTTGACGTCCTGTCCTTAGCAGGTTATCTGACAGGTCCATTTGCTTCACCCCTTCCGAGTGCTGATCTGTAAAGCACCTTCCCTAGACTATTGTGAGGATGAAATGAGGAGATGGGTTTGGAAGCCCATTGTTTATAAATTATTGCTGGAAGGAGCAGGAAGACCACAGGAAGAGTGGTTGAAACGGGGTGCTCGTGCCTGAGGAAAACCACAAAATGAAGCCTAAGAGTGAGCAGAGAGCGTGGAGGAAAATTCTGGAAGAGGATCGGGGGATGGGAGTTGTTGGGGGTCGTTGGGGGTCGGCATCAAGTGAAAATGCTTTGCTGCCCAAGTAGAGAAGTCGTGCCAGATCCAGTGGCGTCCTTCCTCCAGCCCACCTTTTCCCTCCCCTACCCTAATGGGCAGCTCACTCCACAGTCCCTGTGTGTCGACTGAGTCTAGGAAACACCTTTTCTCTCCTGCCATGCGGGTTGTGGGCTTCTAAGAGATATGGACTGGGCAAGCTGGGGCTAAACATACAGCTGTTAGAGTCCCTGTGTGTCGACTGAGTCTAGGAAACACCTTTTCTCTCCTGCCACGCGGGTTGTGGGCTTCTAAGAGATATGGACTGGGCAAGCTGGGGCTAAACATACAGCTGTTAGGTGTGGGGAGGTGAAGGGCAGTGCCCCTACATAGTCTCCAGGGCTGTGAGCCAAAGAGTCCTTACCCTGGTGGGCTGACTGAGTAAGGGGGGAATGTTTCCTGTCACTCCGAGCATTGTCATCCTTGAAATTTATCCAACCATGCTGTGTTCATTCCCCTACACAGCCGGACCTGCATTTACTTCCAGGTAATCGCCTGGGCTTTGCCCCATGCCTTTGACCAAATTGAAAATTCAAGAGAGTATTTCAAAATAAAAAGTTTTTTAAATCCAGGAGAAGGATCCTACTGGCAGATGACAGTCAGTCTGGGGTGGGGAAAATGGGTTTGACTAAACTGGAAAAAATTTCTTGTGCTTCCCCTATACTTCCTGCTTCTAGGGATATAGAGAGGCGCAATCCCAGCCCCAACAGGGGGCCAGGCACCCATCTACTTAAGTAAAGTTGGCTGTGGTAAGGGGTGAGAATGAAATGCTCTGGACAAGCAGAGGAGGAAGGAATGAATTCCAGCTGAAGGGCCTGGCAAATGAATGGGATTTTCCTTTGCAGTTCAGGCAGAGGGGATGGCAGATGCCAAACTACAGAGGTAGAAGAGAGTTGGTCTGTGAAGTAGGGATATGATAGTGTCTACTTCATCTATGAGATTAAAAGAGATTAATGTTATGTTAATAATATGATAAATGTTAGCCATTATTACTGTTGTGGTGGTGGTGGTTTTGATCATCATCATCCGACCAGGAACTGGCCCAGGGCCACACAGCTAGTAAGTGGCAGAGCCTGATTCAAATTCTGGCCTAGGTGACTCCTAAGACTATGCACTGTGCTCAACTCCCCACAGCCTCTCTGGTTCTTTCTGTCCATCCTCAACATTTTTGAGGCCCAGAAGTGATCTCTCTTTGTGAACATTCTCAGTGAGCCACGACAGGAATTGCTTTCCTGCTGTAGTAGCAGAGACTCTGGGTTTAGAAGGAGGCGGGAAAAACAAGGCCTACACAGCCATCTTCTCCTGGCCTGGATCCCAGCTCAGAAGACAGGCAGGCCTAGTAGTGTGGTTTCTGTGGGTGGCGGGACTATCTAGAGAGCCCACCCCGGTTTAATTCTAGCTCCTCTACCACCTCTGGGCTATTTTAGCTTAGCCCTGGTTGGCTTCCTCACCCTCCAAAACTCAGCAACACTTGGGGAAGGAAATTATGAGCTTTTAATGCTTCTTACTTGCAGTGATAACACATCTGTCATTTTTGAGTCTGGCTATTTATTGGAGTCTTGCACTCCAAAGGGAACTTTACATCTATGGTCCTATGAGGGAAGTACAGCCCTTCACCTAGATGCACCAATTAGTACTTTGCCAGTTTTGCTCTTCTGTACACACACACACACACATACACTTTTTTTTTTTGCCAAACTATTTAAATATAAGTTACAGACATCTTAACACTTGACCCCTAAATTCTTCAGCATGTATCTCCTCATAATGACATTGTCCTACCAAAGAAAATAAGCAAGAAGTCACTATTAACCTAGTAAGTAGTTGATATTCAAATTTTTCCATTTGCCCAAAAATATCATCTATAGTTATTGGTTTTTTAAATCAGATAGTCTGGGGCCGGCCAGTGGCTCACTCGGGAGAGTGTGGTGCTGATAACACCAAGGCCACGGGTTCGGATCCTATGTAGGGATGGCCAGTTAGCTCACTGGGTGAGCGTGGTGCTGACAACACCAAGTCAAGGGTTAAGATCCCCTTACCGGTCATCTTTAAAAAAATAAAATAAAATAAATAAATAAATAAATAAATAAATCAGATAGTCAAATTCACATTTTGCTTTTGATTATCTCTTTAAGCAACTCATTTAATATAAAAAAAAAGTCCACCTGTTTAATATGTTTTCTGTGTTCATCAATGATTATTCAAGATAGTTTTTCTGTTGGTTTTTTTGGGGTTTTGGGGGGTAGTGCTGTGTACTTTTTATTGCATCGCATCAGGAGGCCTGTGATATCAGGTCCTGCTATCCATGAGTGCTGATTATTGGCTGAGATCATGACAGTCTGATCTCCACATTGTAAGGGTAAATTTTTCCTTTTGTAATTAATAAGTAATCTGTGGAATGATTCATTGAGATTGTTGGAATTCCGTGTACCTGATAACCTTTCACACCACGTCCACTGATGATCCTTGCCTGAATTGCAACATTGAGAGTTAAGAAATGGTGACTTTTGGGCTGGCTGGTTTGCTCATTTGGTTAAAGCACAGTGTTGTAACACCAAGGTTAAGAGTTCAAATCCCCATACTTGCCAGCTGCCCAAAACAAACAAAAAAGAAATGCTTATTTTCTAAATCTACCATTCCTTCTATATTTGTTAGCTGGTATTCTTTTTTATAGAATAACTTTTTCTTCTCCCTGTCTTTCTCACTTCCTCTCCCCATCCCCCCCTCTTTTATTTTTGGAGTAACATTGTGGACTCATGATTTAAAAAAAAAAAAAAATCATCCACTATCATCATTATTCTTTTGGTACTCAAATTATCTCAAAGTTGGCCAGTGGGAATCCCTTCAGGCCAGCTCCTGTGTTCTTTTGATATAAATAACCTTATTAATCTTTGATTCCTTCTTTGCTCTCTGGCAAGAGAAGTTTTAGGCTCACCTTGAACTTTTCCTGTTTAAGTCCTGGAATCATCAATTTCTCCAGGAAGCCCTGGTTTCTTTTTGTAGGAGATGACATTTGGAAAACAAGATCCAAGGCCAGATGTGCTCATTGCTACTGTGTGTCCTTTCTAGGCTCTGAGTGAACAGAGCTAGGAAATGACAGACAGGTAGGTAGATAATTATCATTATCTAGTAGGTTTATACTTGTTACTACAGCTGGTCCTCACAGGTGGCACAGAAGGGGTAAATTGCATGGGGAAGTTTTGTTTCATTATGGAGGTAAGGTAGCTCATTACGGAAGTAGGTGTTGACGTAGGAAAAGAAGAAATTGCCCAGAAAGAGCCCGAGCCTACTTCAGGGCCCCATGAGTAGCGAGGGTGTTGGCTTCTGTGGCTGCTGCTGAAGACCTAAACCGGAGAAGACACCAGGCTGCCTTCAGAGGACTGTTTCCCCTAAGGGTACCCAAATCTGGAACTTCCCAGAGGCCATGGTGAATGCACATGAAGTCCTGGGCACAGGATTCATCCTCTGAGTCTGGCTTAGGTTGTCTGTGAAATAAAGATGATGTGATCTGTCCTGCCTGGGCCCCAGAGCTGTTGTGAGACCAATGTACATTTACTTTTAAAAGTTATTAACAGTCTCTTCAATGCATTTATTATAAAATTCCTTCCCTTTTTTATTGTTTTAATACCACAGTTTGAAATGTAATTACCTTATAATCCGTTTTATACATTACACTAATATATCTCATTTTTTAATGTTTTTTCAAGTTATCACTCATCAGTTTTTCCAGGTTAAGATTTTAATTTTTTTTAATCTTTTGAGAAAAAATACTATTTGGGTTTGGATCAGGACAGCATAACAAGTATAATTTTAGAAGAGCAACTTTAGGGCCGGCCCGGTGGCGCACTGCTACAGTGCGCCGCTTGGGAGCGCGGTGGCGCTCCCGTCAGGGTTCGGATCCCACATACAGACCGGT